GAGGAAGAGGTAGCAGAACCAAGAAAAGCAGAAGCAACACAGAGGAAGTGGAAGCGAAAAAGAAAAAACAAATAAAACAATTATTTAGCCCAAAATCCAAATTTCTGTTAATAAATTTTGATCAAACACTTCCATCCTTAGTCTGACCGTCCTTAGTCTCCAGGCATGTGCCACCGCCAGAAGAGCCAGTCCAAAGCATAAGGGAATACACATTGTCACTGCTCCTGTGGCATATTCCTGGACTCATTCCTCCATGACAACTAGATTAGCCTCCAATTTGAGGAAGGAACGTACTCTGACCCCTTGCCCAGCTAGCTGTGGTTGTAAAAGTCTCAAGAGAGACCTAAGCGTCCAAGCACAGGACACAAGGCCCAGTTCTGAATTAAAAATTGAAGATTTTATTTAGCAAAAAAAAAAAGCAGTTTTCATTTTCACAATGGGAGCACAAATGCAAATTGTTTTCACCATTTCAGAGAAAGTAACATGCAGCTCTTTTGAAAAGATATTTTATTTATTTTCTTTTTATAGAATCACAAAATCATAGAACACTAGAACTGGAATGGACCTCAAGAGGTCATCAAGTCCAGTCCCCTGCCCTCACGGCAGGACCAAGCAGTGTCTAGATCAGTGTTTCTCCACTTTTTAATACAATACCCCTTTTTCAAAATATATATAAGTACCCCCAGTACCTACATTTTTCAGACACAATTTTTTTTCTACCATTGCAACAAATTTGTTTAAACAACTTAATCATAGCCGGGTGACAATGAAATTGTTGGCTGTAAAAAGTACAAAAATAATAAAGCACTGTAAAACTTAAAACAAAAATTCAGTTTTCTCCAAATGTCAGTTGTGTTGACATACCCCCTTCTTCCCTCCTCCCCCCAACTTCTCTCAAGTACCCCTAAGGGTACTCGTACCACTGGCTGAGAAACACTGGTCTACATCATCCCTGATCTAGACATTGCTTTTAAAAAGCAGCAACCCCATTTGAACATTTTTCTTGCCTTTTTTAAACAGCTTGAGTCCCACCTCAGGAGCAGCCAGTCTGCTGCCCCAGGGATGTAGCAGAAGAGCCAAGCTAGGCCTACTCCTGCCCCATGCCCTGTACCACTTCCAGAAGCAGCCAGCATGTTTACCAGGAGCTCCATGTGCCACTGGTTTGCAAGTTGCAACACTCCATGATATCACATTACATCAATGCCTGATTATGTCTGACTCACAGATGGTTGAGCTAAAACATTAGCTAATTGAATCAAGATACACTGCACCTGCAAACAGTTATAAGAAAAATATATTTCTATTTCATGTTTGCAGTTTCTCCTGTACATTTTGAATCATGATAAAAGGGAAATAATACTACAGAGACTGACTATAGTATTTGCTAGCATTAGGTCAAACTTTCTTCCTCTGTATATAAACCCTTATTCTCATCAAGTACTTGTCTTTTCCTTTCCCCTGTTCAATTCAAAATATAATGCCTCAAAGTGTCTCTTCTGTACACCTCTAATACTTAAAGTTAATATACATTTGCAGCTTAAGTGGCTGAAACCAATTATTTAGGTAATAAAAAATATCTTTCCAGACCTAACAAGTGTTATCAAGCACTACTAACCTAGTGGAGCAAAATGGCATATGATGCACAAATGGCCAATTTCAAAACTGAAATTGACTTTAGCCAGTTGATATTCTCTCCAGAAAACTAGGCCATTATTCTTATTTGCATTAAAGTTTCTTTGTGTTGATTTGGCAGCATAAAGAGTCTGTAAAGTAGGTGCACATGAATCAAATATACTCTGGCTCAGGCACTGTTAGAGGGCTTTCCTTTCACCCTCTCCCCTGTTCTTGTCAGGCAGACAGAAAGCAGAAGACCAGTAGTCTGAAGTGCAAGCAAAGCCATGTTTATTGGGGTTAGTTTTTAGCAATCATGTGTCCCATTACTAATCCTGCATAGCCTTGTTTCCCAGTGTGCCTCTTCTCACTAGCTATAATTAGACCTGAGATTCACACCCAGAGTCCCACCCCTTACAACTTATGGTCATGTTCCACGGTGGTAGGCCTGGGGTCTTCATCCCCTCTCTTTTGTACCCTAAGGGAGAGGTAAGGAGTGAGATTGTGCTCCAGTTAGAAACAGGTATTTCTTTGGTCTTTAAGGGTTTGTCTGCATTACAGAGAAGATTGAAGCTGCTGCTGTTGATCTTCCAGGGTTCTTAATAGTGGGTCTAGTGAAGACACACTAATTCGAGCTAAGAGGGCTGTTCTGGTTGATGCCAGCAGTCCTGTTTCCATGAGGAGTAAGGGAAGTCAAAGGGAGAGTGTTCTCCCTTCAATTTCCTGCAGTGTGGACAGCGCCAAAAGTCAAGTTAAGGCTCATTGACTTCAGCTATGCAATTAACTTAGCTGAAGCTGCATATCTTAATTCGACCTTATCCCATAGTGTAGACATACCCTAGTGTTTTATATCTTCCTCCCAATCTCTCTTTTGCCCCTCCTGACTGGATGCTTCAGTAATACTAACTGCTCTTTTATGTTCCCCTTGTACTAGCAAACCCATCGGGCTAGGCAGAAAACACACTGGGTGTGTCTAGACTACATGCCTCCGTCGACGGAGGCATGTAGATTAGCCAGATCGGCAGAGGGAAATGAAGCCGTGCCGATCAGCTGCTTGTCGGCAGATCGAGGCAGTCTGGACGCGACGCGCCGACAAAGAAGCCTTTCTTGATCAGCACAGGTATGACTCGTGAAACCAGGTTTACCTGTGCCGATCAAGAAAGGCTTCTTTGTCGGCGCGTCGCGTCCAGACTGCCTGGACATGCCGCGGTCGACAAAGAAGCCTTTGTCGACCAGCGCAGGTATGCCTCGTGAAACCAGGTTTACCTGCGCCAATCGACAAAGGCTTCTTTTTCGACTGCGACACGTCCAGACTGCCCCTGATCTGCTGACAAACAGCTGATCGGCAGAGCAGGGCAGCCATTTAAATTTAAATGAAGCCGTGATTATTTTAATCGCGGCTTCATTTCCCTCTGCCGATCTGGCTAATCTACATGCCTCCATCGACGGAGGCATGTAGTTTAGACGTACCCACTGTGTCTTTGCCTTTTTATCTTCATTCACTAGTGTTAGTAACAACGTATATGCATCAAAAAATCAAACAGGTAAGCAACATTCAAAATTCCATTTCAGGAGAAAATACAGGCTTATACAACTTATACCAGCACAACTACATCAGTCAGAGTTGCGAACCTCCCCGCCCCCTCCAATGGCTTAGCTATGCTTAAATTTAAAAAAAAAATAACCCCAGTGTGAATGCAGCTGTGGTGACAGAAGAGGTCTTCTGCCAGTTTAGCTAACATCATTTAACAAACTGATATTACTGCACTTCCAGAAAAGCTCCTTCCGGCTGTGTAGATTTCAGCTATGGTAAGGGTTATGCCAGCAATGTCAAACAGACATAAGTAAGGAAAGGCATGTTGTACTCACTGACGCTTGACTGACCCAGGAATAGCACTGATGGTCACCCCATGGAGAGGAATTCTAGGGTACATCTAGACTACATGCCTCTGTCGCCAGAGGCATGTAGATTAGGCTACCAGACATAGTAAAATGAAGTGGTGATTTAAATAATCGCCGCTTCATTTAAATTATATGGCTGCCGCGCTGAGCTGACAAACAACTGATCAGCTGTTTGTCGGCTCAGCACCCTAGTCTGGACACTCCCCTGCCGACATCCAAGCCCTTTGTCGGCAGGCCCCCTATTCCCCGTGGGGTGCGGGA